ACCTGAGGACAAGACAACAAGTAGCAGGTGGAATCTTAACAAAGAGAGATCCAATCTAGAATGAAGGAGAAATTTCCTGACAGTGAGATCAATCAACCAGTGGGATGGCTTGCCTTCAGTTGTGGGTGCTGCATCACCAAAGGTTGTCAAGAAGAGACTGGACAGCTATTTTGCTAGAATGGTATAAGGTTTGAGCACGGTATTGGACTAGATTGGATTCACAGTCCCTTTCAACCCTATTATTCTATGTTCTATATACTCTTGAGAAAAGCCCACTGATGCCACTCTAGCCGTGCCACATGGCAGAACTGCTAGCTCCTGAGACTCAGCAGAAGTTTACAATATTGCATTCTTTGGCATTCTTAAAACCTATTGAACCAACTCTCTGTTGTTCCCAGCTGAGGGTAAGGTATATTCCTTTGTAGGGGAAGGTAATCTGAGGGGTTTACAGGACAGTGAGTGGGTGTTTTGACTGCTAATGGGGTGAAAATTAGATCCCCCTGCTTCTTGACAAACCTCCTTTCAAACTTAATTCCTTCTCAACTCTTTGTTTTGGGATACCAAGTTGTACTTTTGGGTTTACAAAGGCACTATCTGAAAGCAGTGTTCTTTTATTTGGGCTTCTTTTTCCAATGTACTATATCCGTGGTGGCGAACCTATGGCACGTGTGCCACAGGTGGCACGCAGAACCCTCTCTGTGGGCACGTGTGCCATCGCCCCAGTCCTAGGCCTTCAGCTGGGTTTTATGAAACCTTTTTGCTTTAGGCCTCCGCCACCGAGTGCAAAAAAAAAAAAGGTTCAATCAATCAATTTCAAGTTCTCGCGGGAAAAAAAAAGATCTCGCAAAGTTGGAATTGATTGAACTTTTTAGTCCCACCCAGTCTGCTGTTACCCCCGCATCCACGCCCACTCAATGGGCCATGTCCACCCAATTGGCCACACCCACCCAATGGGCCACGCCCACCCAGCACCCGACGATACATAAGTGGGTTTTGGGTTGCAGTTTGGGCACTCAGTCTCTAAAAGGTTCGCCATTGCTGTACTATATAAACTTGTCAAAAGAGATGAGATTGCAAAGGCATAATTTAAGTCTGGGATAGGCAGTATTTTGCGATGAGGGACATAGTTTGAAAACTTGTGTGAAGTATCTTAATAACTTCCCAGAATGACAAAATGTTGGACAGCTATATATTTAGCAAATTATATCACAACAACAACAACAACATGGTTACTGTGGGGGTGCTGCCTGCTCCCTGAAAGGGTCCTACTCTGGGTGCGGGTTTGGCCCATTGCAGAATTCCCATTTACTAGAAAGTATTTTAACCTTCTCTTGGCTGCTGTAGTGGGACTTTTATTATATCCCAATGTATTCTTGCAAATAAAAGTGATGCTAATTCTGCCCCCCTGCTCTGCAATACAGCAGTTTATTTTATTTGTTTAATTAAACATTGTCTTTTATTTAAGGAGGGGTAAACAGCACAGTTGGCACCTGGGGAAGAGCTTAGAGGCTGATTGATGCATGCATATTTATTTAGTTATAACTTTTTTTAAATGCCACTAACCATTTAAAAAAACAAACAAACCTCAAGGTGGTTTATAATTAAAGCAGTTCCATAAAGCATTCCTTTAATTTAACTCATAAGTTAAATGAATGGTGGGGCTACAGTACCCACAATTCCTTGCGATTGGCCACACTGGTTTGGGATGGTGGGAGATGAAGTCCAAAGCATTTGATGGGCATTGGATTGGTTACTCCCAAGTGGATCAGCACCTTGAAACCAGGCTAGAAACCAATGTAGGTGACAAGAAGGCGAAACAACTGCATCCCTCAGGCCATCACTCTGCTGAACATGTAAATCTCATAGTGCTGTCTAATGTCTATTTATCCAAATAGTATGACTATAGTATTATTTATCCTTATTATTAGCTTTCTTACTCCCCCTCCTATTGGTGGTACTATTATTATTATTATTATTATTATTATTATTATTATTATTATTATTATTATTATTATTATTACTATTTTGTTGCTTTGCATGTGCACTGAGACCTTCTGCACTGGAGGCAAATTCCTTGTGTGTCTAATCATGTTTGGCCAAATAAAGTAATTCTATTCTATTTTCTATTTTCTATTTTCTATTTTCTATTTTCTATTTTCTATTTTCTATTCTATTCTATTCTATTCTATTCTATTCTACTTCACT